TTAATATTATGAGTATTCTGATGGAATTTTAGTGAAAGGATTTTTATCAAAAACATAATGAGCACAAATAAGGAATATTTGTTTTAACCATACATGCAAACAGAGTTTTCTGGGACCCCAGGAACTTGGCAACTGCCTAGTATTCCCTAATGATAAATCCCCTCCGGTGGACCGGTTCTTTCAGTTCAATTTGCATGCTTTCTAAGCCATAGAAAGGCTTTGTTGGTCCACTCTATAAAGCTTGGAACTCAACGCTAATCCAGACATTTTTAATTGAAAAAGCTTCCTGGATGGGAAGTGAAATGTCTGGAAACAAAGTCCAGTGGTTTATTTTTAAACTATTTAACTTTATTAGAATGAAATCTATTTATTCTTTCTCTATTCATCTCATCAAATAAATTAGAAAAAAAAAGAAATTTCATGCGGCCATAGAAAGCTGGGCTTTTTTTGCACCTGTTTTTCCTGATTACAAACTTTGTAGTGAAATGATTTACAATTGAGCCAAAATCAGCTGGAATGTGTCATCTTGTCTATAGCACCATCTTCTGGTGAAAGGCTATGATTGTTTTTAAAAATCTGAGCTTTTATTTGCAGAAATGTTTATTTTACTCTTAAATTTTAAATACTGCCCAAAATAAAAGCAGAATAAGAAAAGTTTGTTCACTTAATTAAAGTGTAGTCTCAGAGCCTGAAGGAAATCTGTATTTTAACCTTCTTTTATTTAATTTATTCTGAATGGGGAAATAGAATAGATGGTAATTACCTGTTACTGGACTCATTTAAAAAAATGTTGGTTACAATAGTTGTTTTATTTACTAAATATTTTCGGAATAATATTCTTTCATTTAAAAACCTGTTATGCCACAGACTAATTTCCCTAATGAGGAGAAGAGCATTATTAGAATAATAGGAGCGCCGCACTGATGGCAGCTTTGGTAGACTGGAGGTGCCTCTTATTTAAAGGACAAAGGCGCTTTCACGTAGGGTTTCTAATGCACACTTTGCTCAGAAGCATTTATTAGAATATTTTCTGCAAATCATCACCAACTTATACTGATTTTAACTCCAGTTCCCATTCAGACTGCGCTCACAGCTCAATGAGCGAACGCCTGGACAGCAAACCAGGACAGAGGATTGAAGGGGAGCAATGTTTGTTATCAGAGAAAGGCAATGGTTAATGCAGCATATCTCTGCAAACTTAGTGCTGTTTGCAGTGGGGATTTACTATTAGGCAATACTAGGCAGTTGCCTAGGGCCCCAACGTCCTGGGGGCCCCAATAAAACTCTGTTTACATGTATGGTTAATACAACTATGCCTTATTTGAGGGGAAAACAGAGAGGAAAACAACAAGAAAAGGGACAAGAATAGAGGGACAAACCTAGAACAAATAATGGACGTCTATTCTATTAACATTTCTCTATCTGGCTAATGGGTCTGTTTATGTGTTGTCTGTTCAATTCAGAGGGGCCCCTGCCTGTCTTTGCCTAGGGCCCCAGATTTCTTCTTAAATAAAAAAGTAATCCGCCCCTGCCAGGTGGTATAAATTGAATATGACTGGAAACCTTTTTTTTGTAAGGATACAAAAAAAAGTATTGATCTCAAACAAAATCAATCCAAAGAAGACAGAAACACGATTCTCATGTTATAATTTTATATAATAATGATAAAAAAGTGAGACAGTAACAGAAGGAGCCATGATCAGGGTCCCCTGCTACATAGCTGCCCAGCACAGTAATACTGTTAGAGATAGGAACATATAGTGCTGGGCAAAAACAACACACTGAGTACAAACATGGAACTAAATCATTTCAACATCATGCAATCATAAAAAAATAACAAACAAGGGACAATACAGGTCATTATCAGATATATATAAAATACAGACACTTCTAAACAAAAATAAATGTATTGCATCTTCAATAATACTTCATATAAGACACAATATGCACAAGGCATACTGTGAAAAAGATCTCCACCCTAAATCTGTAGATCTAGCTGATTGCCCTTTTTTATTTCAATGGCTTCTCATTCATAATATCCCTTCAAAGCTTCTCGTGTGACACAACAGAACCATTGGTTCAGCTTTTAACTTCATGGTGGAAGAAGAAGAAAGTCCTTTGTTTGAAGTGATGCTCATATTTCCTATCAGTCTAAACGCAGTTCTTGTGGTTCATTTTCACGAGCTTCATATTAGACAAAAGGTTAACAGGTTTGCTTAGAAGAAAAGCTCTGAGTCATGATGGAAAAACATTTATCCAAGCCTCCATTTATCCCCAACTTCCATAAATGTTTCCTATACCTGCACTTCCTGATCAGTTTAGATTAGCACGGAACAACAGCAGTGCCACAAAAAAAAAAAAAAAAAAAACACTGTGCGAAAATAAACCCTGAAAAATAATTTAATGTGTAATTAAAAAGACAAAAAAAAAAAATACAAGATATGAATACTTATAAGGGAAGAGGAGAACAATAAGGATATTAGTCTGTGAAAATAATTTTTCTGTAAAAACAAACGACATAGACAACCATAAAGAACGGTGAGACTTCTAATATATAAGGCATAGGTAGATTATTATGAAAAGCTGATCAATTAAAGGACGACCGCTACGCAGCTGAGCATTATGCTACGCTCACACCGGACACGTTTTGATTAGCAAAAAACTTCTGCTGCTTAATTTTTGATGCTAGTCCACATTAAGGTCAGATGTGCCTCAAGAGAATCTTTGATGCGGTAAAGTGTGTCCAGATGCGTCTGATGCTTCTGCTGGACCTTTGCTTAACGGCAGAGAGCGGCTTTGCTATATTTGCTGTGATCAGTTGGTAAAAAGTAGTATTAATATATTTAAGAGTGAGAAAGTGAAAACTTCATCGGTGCAGTAAGTCCATCCAGATTACCATCCTGTTATTTGGCGGTCAGAGCCGCTCAGACCCTCTCTCCCTCCCCAATATGGCTCCTATCTTTCCACAGAGATAAAGGTGGAGCTATAAGGGAACCTCCTCATGGTGGCGCCCTTGGCAGCTGTAAGGAAACACCAATGAAAACATTCTGTGGCACGCATGGCTATCCAGTGGCGCCTCCAGAAATGTTTCATGGGGGGCCAGATGGGGCCACTAATAATCTTGGGGTGGCACACTGAAGATAAAAGCCATCATTTCAGGGAGGGAAAGGGTTTCTACTATTTTGATACACCTGCCTGTAGAAATCATAACGACTTAAGCAAACACCTTCTCATATCTTGGTTTATTGTATGAATTTTAATGTTACGTTGGCTGTGCATAATGTATTAAATGCTAAAAAATGATGCTACTGCAATTTACACTGGCTAGTGGGGTGGCCAGGGCATTGCACAGGGTTGCCGTTGCCACCCCTGGCCACCTGGTGGAGCCACTGCCACATCCAACCAAATGTATACAAGTTGTAGTTGAAAATAAAGAAATTGATTGATTGATGGATTGACACCGGCGGTACGCTGTCACTGGGAATCCCCAGCAGCAGCTGCCTCAGGCCCGCTCACATCTTGGGGATTTCCCCTACTGTTGGTGGTGGCTGGTTTTTCAGGTATTTTAACATTCTAAGTTAATTTAGGCGTCAATAAACTGTTTCAGAGGAGTGATCATAGTGATCTGCATCAGCAGTGCTGTGTCTGTTTCCCTGCCAGCTCCTAGATCAGCTTCTCTGATTGCTTGATGGGGCGCGGTGAGCAGCAAAAGTTAAATTTTTCCAACTCCAGCAGCTGCTGCTGCTGCTGCTTGTAAAGCGCATCACGCGCGTCAGATGCTCAGAAGCTCATGAGGTGCTGCTTCAGCTGCTCTAGATGCGCTGCAGGACCTTTTGATGCTCATCAAGCACAGACTTTGCGTGAAAACCGGCTGCTTCTGCTGCAAAGCGTGTTTAGTGTGAATGTAGCATTATACAACCAGCCAGCCTCATGCAGTCTGAAACCCATCCAATGAGCTAGCACAGGCTGCTTACTGACAAACATCTCATTTCACCATATTTTTGAGAATAACAGCCGCACTTGGAATAAAACATTGATTGAAGAGGGGAAAATGTAGAGTGATTATCAGCTCCAAGGGCGCAGACAAATCCAATTTACATTTTTTACCTTTTTTTTCACAGTGATTAAAAGATATACATTTTAATAATGTCTTTTTTTTAAACAAACAAAAACTCTTTTTAGAATACTGAGATTGAGCCAATGTTTCTATTGACATTTTTTTTTAAAAACAGCCTTAACAATGAGTTTGTTAGTAGGTGTCATTTTAACGGTATCTTTCCTTACATAAGCTGTTATTTTCCTTACGTTAAAAAACATGTTGACACATTCTACATCCTTTAACTTAATCTACTTTCATTTAAAGCTACAGTGTGTAATTTTCAGCGACATCTAACGTCCAGACTGCAGACCGCAGCAACATGAACATAGTTATGTATAATATATTACATTTCTGATTGTATATCCCTGTAATTATTACACACTGTACCTTTAAGCTAATTGTCTAAATTGATAAATTTATTTTCCTTTTTTTATCTGGTTAGATTGTCTCGAGCTGATCTGGTTTTTATATTTCTACTCTATTGCTCTTTGTTGTGCCTCACCTTAGTTTCTCTGAAATGCGAGATTTGCATGAAATAATAATGAAAAGATAAAATTTTAAAAAAGGAGGTAGTTCGGGAAAATGACCACCTGGAAAGTAGAATCAGAAAATCAAAACAATCTAGAAATAACAAAATAATATTCAAAGCACATAAAAATATTTTTTGATTGTTATACGTCTTTATATATAATTATTTTTTGTACTTACTCTTATTGCCTATTTAACACACCTGACATTCTCGTAAATACTGAGTTAGGCTTTTACATTGGTTAACCTTCAAGTTACGACACTTACATAGAACGTAAAGTGCTGTGAATCTCGTGTAATAGTGTATAATTGTTGTCATTAAAATCTAAATCACTGGTCACTAAGGTCATATGCCCAATTAGCCATATTCTGTATTTCATTCATGGCCAATCTGCAGAATCTGTCTGGTTAGAACATTTTTCCTTCCTCTGAACCTCAGGCTTAAGCCGGGTGTACAACGTACGATTTTTTGCCCTTTCCGGGCTGATTCTACTAAATATTTCCATCGGGCCAAGTTTTAGCCTGATCTTGCGTCCTGCGTCGTGTAGCATTCAGGGGGTAACGAGGGGCAATCAGCCTCTAATGACCACCCCCCCATCAGGAATCGTAAGGTAAGCAGGAAATCAAACATGTTTAAAAATCGGCCATCCTGAGATGTTGGTGAACAAATCCTGCTGTTGAAGCAGAGCTACGAGTCCGACGTGCGGTTTTTAGATGTATGGCGTGAGCAGGTAGATCGCATCAGAGAATCGGCCTGCGCAGTGTGAGAACATACATCGTAAGCTGTGAACTTTTAAACTGTTTGCCATTTTGCGGTCTGCTGTTTGGTCATATAGTTTGAGTTGTAGCTGCGTGCATAGATTGAAAACATGGCACAGTACATGCCCGCCTACAGAGGTGTTCTGTTTCTCCTTGTAAATTGGTATGAGATGAAGCAGACAGTGATCATAGCTTCCCAACACTCTACATGTCTCCTGAAGCTAAGGAGCAGCGGTCCACTGTGTTCCTATCTCCAGTGATGACATAGACTCAGGCTTCTGATGTTGAAGCTTGTGGTGGAATGTAATCACGAGCCAGAGCAAAGGAGGAGAACTATTTAGCTAAAGAAAATTAAATGTTCAGAAAATGAAAGGGGTGGATTCACTTTAGTGTGATATTTGTGGCACCCTCTGTACTCTATAGTTCACTTTTTGGATTTGATTGTTAAGGCTGGACCTGTTTATTGGACCAGCCACGTCTATAACACTGCTTAGGTTCAACGACTACAACACATGGAGCTCATGCGCTGTACACAAGGTCAATACTGATGTTTAATCACATAAAAATGTTGATTTGCTGCATCAACGTTAACACCTGTCAGGAAATATACTCCTGATTTTAACACTGTTGGTATAAAGCTAAATACTTCATAAAGATTAGATCCCCCCCATCCCCCCACATACTCTCCAGTGGGGGAGCTAGTGAGAAACTTATCACTGAATAATAATACTTTTTAAACAAATAATTAACAATATCAGTAACTTCTCAACCAGCTTGATTGTTTGGAACGCAAAAAAAGGGAATGATTGTCATAATTACTGCCATGTCCAACACCATGGCATCTTGGACATGCAAAGCATTAGTGCACTTTGGGAACAACTGGGTAGTGGTGGGGGTTGGGGGGTGCAAGGCACTTAAAGCTACTGGATTCTTGGAGCAGCTGTAATGATGAGAGCAAGGATGAACCAGAGGCTTAGGTGGACAGGTGAAGGCAGAGAGCCCCCAGAGTGGATGGAGGAGGCGTTGATCTCTGAGCTGAGGAAGGCTGACAGGGGGACGTGTGAGACCAAAGTGGGACTGGCATAGTTTATGAGGGAATCAATCTTCTCAGCCTCCTTACTGCAAGCCTCGATCTGAAAAACAGGAAGAGCAAGATTTAGATTCTTTATTAGACTTTGACTTACTTAGACTTAGACAACTTTATTATCATTTTGTACACACAGTGTGTATACAAAACAAAATTTCGTTCAGTACAGCTCTCAAGACATTTCCTAAAGTCCTCATTTTCTAAAGTGCAGCAGCGATAAAATTTTATGTTGCCATAGGTTGCTGCAGCCTTTAAGATGTTCCAGTCAGAGCGTTCAAAACAGTCTTGGAGTGTTTCCATGGCGCCCTCAGACCACACTCGGACCTCTTTAACTGTTGGTTTAGCCAGTGGCGGCCGGCCCATAGGGGGCGCTGGGGCACCGCCCTCCCTGATAAGAAGAGAGAAACGTAAAATATATTTTTAGAAATTAACTCATAAATGGCAGTTTTACTCTCTAGACTGTGTACCTATAAGCAAAACAAATTATATAAACTACATTTCCCTATCTACTGTCATTAAATTGTGGATTTCCACAGACAGACTCCTACCGTCTCTGTTCTGGGGGCGCTGATCAGACAGCCCCACATTTGCAGAGAATCTGTCAATCATGTACTATTGCTAGGTGAATTTAATGGCCAATCAGCGTCTCGGAACTTTATGGTCTTGGGGCTCTGAAAATACTGCGCTTTAACAGGCTTCTGAACCCAAGCGCAGGTGCAGACAATTAGAGGGAAGATGGCGAATGCAACGAACGAGATGCAGCTTCCACCAAATTCGGTGAGATCCTTATTTATCTACCCGTTTGCCAGAAGAACATCCCTGTTGTAGGATATGAACATTTCATGTCATGGTTATTGTGACTGTGACGAATCCACCTCGTCGCTTAAAACAACCTCTCTAACTTTGCGCGCCACACACACATTCCTGTTATACTGTGTTTGTGAGGACCAATACACTCGCGCTGAGACCAGTAGGTCCATGAACTTAAAACACACAAGCTGTTCCTGGTTCCTGCTGGCGTATTGAGGGTGCACACTTAATATTTCAGTGGGGTTAGCCGTGTGTGAGTGTGTGTGTGCGTGTGGGTGTGTGTGTGTGTGTGTGTGTGTGTGTGTGGGGGGTGTGGGTGTGTACGTGTTTATGCTACAGGGACTTGTCATCTTCAGTCTGGCTGCGTCTTTGCTGGGTTCAAACCCAGTTTAGTGTAATTGAATAAGTCAATGAATCTGTGTAAAAGAATTAAGTTGTAACAATTATTTGTTTTTGTACATCAATTGTTTGTGGAGGTAATATATGGACAAAACTGATTAATGAGAAGAAATCAGAAATAAGAGAGCCTGAGGTGAGGGGCTTAAACTATTTAATGAGGGCTGTGGGAAGAAAAGCGGCAATTTTTGTTTTCTGTTTCTTTGTTACATTGCTGGTAACTGGAGGGAGGCTGAGGCCCAGAGTATCTTGTACATGTTTAGTTTCTTTTGCACCCTGTTTTGAGTTTTTGAGCTCAATAAATCACCAACACCGGTAACCCGACTGAGCCTGGATTCTTGGAGGCCAAAGAACCCCGTCACAGTGACCCAAATCATGACTGTTACTGTTATTATATAGTAAATTAAATCATTACTGTTAAATTGTATGTATTGTCCAATTGTTTATTTGAATTCTTATTCCGGATTAGTTGGAGACATACACTAGGCTATATCAGCCCCACCAAAAATATTTTTCACCAGCCGCCACTGGGTTTAGCCCTGATCAGCTGGGGCTTATATGCAGGGATTAGCATGACAGAGATGATCTGATGACCCGAGGTGGGGGCGGGGGGCTGCTCTGAATGCATATTTGATGTTAGAGCAAACCAGGTCTAAAGTGTTTCCACCCCGAGTTGCAAAGTCCACATGCAGTGTTTCCCATTAATGAACGGCAGCCCGCCACAGTCTCGTTTGGGCCCGCCACAGTCTCGTTTGGGCCAGCCACAGTCTCGTTTGGGCCCGCCACAGTCTCGTTTGGGCCCGCCACAGTCTCGTTTGGGCCCGCCACAGTCTCGTTTGGGCGTGCCACAGTCTCGTTTGGGCCAGCCACAGTCTCGTTTGGGCCCGCCACAGTCTCGTTTGGGCCAGCCACAGTCTCGTTTGGGCGTGCCACAGTCTCGTTTGGGCCAGCCACAGTCTCGTTTGGGCCAGCCACAGTCTCGTTTGGGCCCGCCACAGTCTCGTTTGGGCCAGCCACAGTCTCGTTTGGGCGTGCCACAGTCTCGTTTGGGCCAGCCACAGTCTCGTTTGGGCCCGCCACAGTCTCGTTTGGGTAAGCCACAGTCTCGTTTGGGCCCGCCACAGTCTCGTTTGGGCCCGCCACAGTCTCGTTTGGGCCCGCCACAGTCTCGTTTGGGCCCGCCACAGTCTCGTTTGGGCGTGCCACAGTCTCGTTTGGGCCAGCCACAGTCTCGTTTGGGCCCGCCACAGTCTCGTTTGGGCCAGCCACAGTCTCGTTTGGGCGTGCCACAGTCTCGTTTGGGCCAGCCACAGTCTCGTTTGGGCCAGCCACAGTCTCGTTTGGGCCCGCCACAGTCTCGTTTGGGCCAGCCACAGTCTCGTTTGGGCGTGCCACAGTCTCGTTTGGGCCAGCCACAGTCTCGTTTGGGCCCGCCACAGTCTCGTTTGGGCCAGCCACAGTCTCGTTTGGGCGTGCCACAGTCTCGTTTGGGCCAGCCACAGTCTCGTTTGGGCCAGCCACAGTCTCGTTTGGGCCCGCCACAGTCTCGTTTGGGCCCGCCACAGTCTCGTTTGGGCCAGCCACAGTCTCGTTTGGGCGTGCCACAGTCTCGTTTGGGCCAGCCACAGTCTCGTTTGGGCCAGCCACAGTCTCGTTTGGGCGTGCCACAGTCTCGTTTGGGCCAGCCACAGTCTCGTTTGGACGTGCCACAGTCTCGTTTGGGCCAGCCACAGTCTCGTTTGGGCCCGCCACAGTCTTATATAGACACACAGAGAGAGAAAACAACAAAAAGATCTGTCAGTTTATCAGACCATTGGACAGCTGTACTTTCATACTGCCCGTAACCCAGTGCCATAGAGAGACAAATTGTTTATGTTATCGAAGCACGCGTCCCGCCCTCCTTTATAAAAATGCTGTCCCCGGCTGCCCGATTCGCCCGTGCAGTGTTACCAACTCAGCGATGTTGTCGCTATATTTAGCTACTTTTCAGACCCCTCCAGCGACTCTTTTTCAAAAAAGCAACTAGCGACTTTTCTTTTGGAGACTCTGCGGTGAAATCACGTATAGTTCCTACTCTTGTCGTCCAGCGGCAGGACCTGGCATGGGGCGCCTTCCCCGTCCAAACCCTGTTCTCCTGCTTCCGCGGGAGTCCCTCTCAGTGCTGCACTCAGAGCCACAGCAGGTTTACACTGAATGCAAGCCAGGGGGGCTTACATTCGGGGCGGGAGCAAGCAGGATGTACATGTAAATCGTTATTTGGTAACTGAATTTGAAATATTTTATCTTAAATAACGGCATTTTATACACGTAGCAATAGTCACTTAATCAACTTGTCCATTGTGTTTTCCTCTCTAAGATAATGATTCTAGGCTCCGTAGTGGACCACAAGGGAAAAAAGAAAAAGTAAAAAGAAAGTGGCCTCAAAAACGCACTTAAAGGTGAATATTGTTTTTTTACATTGGGCCCTTGACTTTACGTTATTACATCATGTTCTATGTTTTGTGTCATTTGGAGCCGTTCTGAAGATATTCTGTTAGGTTATATCCAAGTAACGTCATCCTATGGGCAACGACTTTAAGGCACAAACTAAACTGTTCATAATTTATTCTTTATGGTACGCCAGCATTCATAACATGTAGGAGAATCACTGTCCCCCAGAAATCAGTTATATTTTTTATATTTATATTTTTTTAAAACAAAGCAGCGCTTGTATGACGTCATCCGTGCGCCGGACTGGAGTTGTGACAGGCAGCCTGGGCCACAGGCGGCTACGCTCTACCCCTTCTATTCATTCGGCTAGCTAATCTGAATCATTCAATTCCATCTGGAGAGCGAGATCATCTGTGGTAGCAGCACTAGACATCTTCTAGGCATGTGAGGAAAACTAGCAGCAGTTCAGCGCACAGGATGGATGAATGGTAGCCGGCGCATGCTGATGACGTCATACATGCACCGCTTTGTTTTTCAGAAATATCAAATATATAACCGCAGATGTCTGGGGGACAGTGATTCGCCTACATGTTATGAATGCTGGCATCAAGGGTGTAACTTTGTAATGAAAGTTAGTGGGGACACTATAAGGCACAGGTCACAGATTAGCAGACCACGGTCCGGATCCGGATCCACCTGCTGGCTAATCCGGACCCAACCTGATTTAAAACATTTAAAAATTACCGCATGTTGTCTGATGACAGTGTCTAAAAGTCACTTGCTCCGCTTCTCCTGTTGCCCTGAAATCGTACAACCTCCACTCCGCCTCGCTGCGCTCCAGACCTCCTGCGTAAAGCAAAGCCTACAGCCTCCGCTGTTCCTCCCATATTGCTGCGCTCTGACTAATCCTCAGAGCTCGTGGAGAGCATGCACAACATTATCAATAAATGCAGGAGCAAAACATGCAGAAATGAACGCTTAGATCAATATGACATATTACAAAACTCGCCATCAGCATCCAGCAGATGTGCGGCTTCTGACGGAGATGAGAAATCTGCTTCCTGGTCTGTTGAAGGACCAATAGTTTGCATCCAATCTTTTAAATAAACTGTGTTAGTTTTTTGAAACATATAAGAATTATTCTCTAATTTGTTGTTACCGATCTGTTGTTACCATATTTTAATTTGACAAACTGGATCTTCTCGCTGTTCTTTTTCCTGTTTGGTGCGATTGTAATAGCGGATGTTGACCTGGCTGGACCGGAGCGGACCCTGAACATTTAGAGGATGTTTGGCTCAACCTGCTGCTGTGAAGCAGGATTCTCCACCATGAACAGAATCAGAAATAAATATGGATCCAGGCTCAAAATGAGCACCTTGATATGTGCTTGAGAATGGCTTAGTCTCCATT